AATATTTTTTGAGCGTGTGCAGTCTATACCACAGAAAAAGAACTTGCAATTTTAACAAATGAAAATTTTTGGCTTTGCACAGCTGACTGACGTTATGTCTGCTGGAATATTATCTCCTCTCTTGGCAGCATGGGTGCACTCTTGCACACACACACACACACACACACACTTTTTCCCTGTCTCTTTATCTGTCCGTCTCTTTCTCACATTCTCTCTCTTACTCTATATTGTTCTCACACGCTCACTTTCTCAGAGTCAGAGGTGGAGAGAGAAGGGATCAGAATTGAAACAGTGTGGAGCTTCTTGTTATTGTAAAGCATACTGTGCTATATTTTAGTGGTAATACACTGTATGAATGAAATTCATTATATAATCTCACTCTGACTTTCTCTCTCAGTCTTATCTCCTTTTCTTTCCGTCTTTGTGTTGGGGTGAGTGGATGTGACTCATGTCCCTCTGGTTTTCCCTCAGGCATGATTTGAATTTTTCTTATTTCCTACTTCTCCCACGGTTCTCCCCTGTAGTCAAACTTTTGTTTTCTAGTAGTGCCATAAGTTGTGTGACCTCTGCTGACCTTTAGAGGTTATGTCCTTGACCCCCTGATCAGCTGGTGTCACGGTGGGAGATCCCGTACTCAGGACCAAGAAGCCTCTCTCTGTTGAGCTGGGACCTGGTTTGATGGGCAGTATCTATGATGGTGAGTTGGTTTTCTTTCTCTTTATATAGCAAAGGTGCTGATTCTCTGGATTTTGCCCCCACTCTAGACTGATACGCTTAAAAGTATTGATACAAGATGATAATTTTATTAGATAAAATTATCAATAAATATTGAGTCCCAGTGTTCGCATCTTCACGGGTCAAAAAATTTTCAGATATTTTTTTTCTTTTTTTGTAACCAGTTGAAACCTCTGTTATAGAACTGGGACCTGTGTTGGTTTGTAATGTCAACGCTTTGTTTAAAGCACTGAATAAGTTATTTCTGTGAGAGAAAAAAAAAAAATTTTTAGGAACATGTTAAAAGGTATTCTCTAGGAAATTGTTAAAAGATATTTTCCATGTGTGGGAGACGTGTGGCTTACAAATTGTTTGCTCGTCTGTCTGTCTGACCAGGTATCCAGAGACCCCTGGAGGACATCTGTGACCTGACACAGAGCATCTACATCCCCAAGGGTATCAACGTGCCCGCCCTCGACATGAACAAGAAGTGGGACTTTGAACCTCTCAATGTCCGGGTATGTACTTCAGGAACTGGGATTGTTTTATTGGATTTTTTTAAAAAAATTGTTTAAATTTTATTAGTGATTTTTCTTTTTTGCAGTCTTTTTTCTTCTACTTATTTTTTTCTCCCTTTTTTTGTCGTCTTGTGTGAGTAAGGA